GACTGTACACATGGACCTCACCAGATGGAATACATAGAAATCAAATTGACTACATCTGCGGAAAGAGAAGATGGAAAAACTCCATATCATCAGTGAAAACAAGGCCAGGGGCAGACTGTGAAACAGACCATCAATTACTCATATGCAAATTCAAACTGACGCTGAAGAAAATGAAAACAAGTCCACGAGAGCCAAAATATGACCTTGAACATATCCCACCTAAATTTAGAGATCTGAAGAACAGATTTGATATATTAAACACTAACGACCGAAAAATAGAAGAGCTGTGGGATGACATCAAGAACATCATACATGAAGAAAGCAAAAAGTCATTGAGAAGACAAGAAAGAAGGAAAAGGTCAAAATGGATGTCAGAAAAGACACTGAAACTTGCTCTCTAGCATAGAGATGCTAAAGCAACTGGAATAAATGAGGAGGTACAAGAGCTGAACAGAAAATTTCAAAGATCAGCTCGAGAAGATAAAGCCACATATTACAATAAAATGTGCAAAGATCTGAAATCAGAAAACCAAAAAGGAAGAACATGCTTGGCATTTCTCAAGCTGGGGGAACTGAAGAAAAAATTCAGTCTCGAATTTCGTTATTGAAAGATTCTCTGGGCAAATTATTGAATGATGCAGAAGGCATCAAGAGAAGATGGAATACACAGAGTCACTGTACCAAAAAGAAATAGTTAATGTTCAACCGTTTCAAGAGGTAGCACATGATCAAGAGCTGATGATACTCAGGGAAGAAGTCCAAGGTACACTGAAGGAATTGGCAAAGAACAAGACACCAGGAATTATCAAAACTGAAATATTTCAAGAAAGTGAGGTGGCACAGGAGGCACTCACTCATCTCTGCCAAGAAATTTGAAAGACAGCTATCTGGCCGACTGATTGGAAGAGATCCATATTTGTGTCCATTCCAAAGAGAAGTGACCCAATGGAATGCAGAAATCATCAACAATCTCTGATATCTCACGTGAGTAAAGTTTTACTAAAGGTAATACAGAAATGGCTGCAAGCATACGTTGACAGAGAACTTCCAGAGGTTCAAGCCAGATTCAGAAGAGGCTGTGGAACCAGGGATATCATTGCTGATATCCGATGGATCTTGGCTGAAAGAGAATATCAGAAAGATGTTTACTTGTGCTTTATTGACTACACAAAAGCTTTCGATTGTGTAGATCATGACAAGCTATGAACAACATTGCGAAGTATGAGTATTCCGGAACACTTAATTGTGCTCGTGAGGACTCTATACCTGGACCAAGAAGCAGTTGTTCGAACAGAACATGGGAACCCTGAATGGTTTAAAATTAAGAAAGGTGTGCAACAAGGTTGTATTCTTTCACCGTACTTATTCAACCTGTATACTGAGCAAATAATCCAAGAAGCTGGGTTCTATGAAGAAAAACGTGGCATCAGGATTGGAGGAAGACTTGTTAACAACATGCAATATGCAGATGATACAACCTTGCTTGTTGAAAATGAAGAGGACTTAAAACATTTACTGATGAAGATCAAAGAGCACAGCCTTCGGTATGGACTACATCTCAATGTAAAGAAAACAAAAATCCTCACCACTGGACCAATAAAAAACATTCTTATCAACGGAGAAATCACTGAAGTTGT